GTAGAAAATACATTTTGTTTTTGTTAAAGGAATGAAAGGAAAAAAGAGACGGAGGTTAAGGTCAAATATTTACCAATTGTTGTATATTGAATATTATCCAACCATTTTTATTAAATGGTAATGATAATTTCAAATCTTTTGGCTTGCATACCATATGATGAGTAAAATGTTAAAATCCAAAGACGTTTGCGTAGTAAAAGTTACAGGAAGGCAGTCAATTTTTAATTTGTCGATATTTTGAATCGATACATTTGCTTCGTTCCTAATATAATTTTGTGTTATTTTTATGATAGGACAATACGTTTCTATATGCCAATAATTGATTATTTTACAGCTGTATATGGTTCGTCTGCACCAGCAACAATTTATGCCAAAAATTAATCCCAATACTTTGATGATATAATTGGTCAAATTCACACAGTATGTAAAATATATAAAAAAATTACCAGTACGTTAAAATTGTTTGTATGATGCTAATCGAAAAATTTTAATAAATATTAAAAATTAGTACATAAAATTGCACTTTTATTTATATATTTATATATTTTATATTTATATTATGATAATAAAGAATATAACATAATTTTAAATAAAAGAATGATGGCAAATTTCGTCCATTTTGGGACCTCAGATTTCAAACTTTTTTTTTTTTTTGCCAAATAATACTATTAGATAAAATATTAATCGCAGTAAAATTTCAAGACGAGCATAGGTACGGTTTTGGAGACGCAAGGGGGATAGTGATGATTTTCAGTCAGTTTTATGAGAAATTATCACCTTTACTTTTACATATTTAAGAAACCGTGCCTATGCTCATCTTGAAATTTCTGTGGAATTAATGTCTCATCATATAGTACTATTTGGCATAAAAAAAGTTTGAAATTGAGATCCCAAACTTCGACCATATAAAATGGGCGAAAAAAACAGTTCTTTTGCCATCATTCTTTAATAACTTTATTATAAATTTTTAGGCATTATTAGCATTAATATAGATTATATGTGAATAAATTATTGAGAGAGTTATAAAACGATTTAAAAAAAATAAAACAAATAAGAATTGAAGACAAAACGAAAAGGAAAGAAAAATAATATAAAGGAGATCGTTTTACGAGAGACGAAAATAAAATAGAGAAGAAATGGAAGAAAGATGTAAAGGATTGAGGGACGAAACAGACTTAGTAAATGGAACGAAAGAAAAGGTAAATTTAATAAATATTCACCCAAAAAAACAATTGTTTAGAGTTTCAATTCTAGAGGATTTGACAAAAAATAAGGTCTCAAGAAGACTCTACAATCTAGTAGAATATTTCTGATCAAGAGATACTGAATTTAAGATTATAATTCCCTTAATACTAGAGAATGTCTTTTTCTTATTAATTTAATAATATTCTTATGTAAAACATTTAAAAGAATACTTTAAGACAAGTATATTCTCTACTTTCAATGATTACTGAGTATTGATTTAAAACTCAAATAATTATATTTATAGAGTATTAGTTTTTTTATCAAGAGGAATCTTCTTGCGATCTCTCTCTCTCTCTGTGTGTTTTACACATGCATACGTATAAATTTTTAAATATTTTTTAGTTACTTTTTAAACCACGTAATCTTGAAATAAAAATTATTTCAAGCAGTTACGTAGTTTTTAAAGTAATTAAAAAATACATATATGTATCGTAAAAAATCATAAAATTATAGAAACATATAATTTTACAAGAATATATATGAAATAGGTATATTTGTTTTTTTAATAAAAAAGATTTGAAAATTACATGTTTACAAAAAAATTACATGTACTTCTACATTAAATAATAAATTTCTAGAAGTATTGGCTTCCAAAGTATTTCTTCTGCTAAAAAATTCAGCTTGATCACCTTACTTAGGCAATAATTCCTCAGCTTTTTTAGTTGATACTAAAAGTAATCGATCTATGGTGGTTATTGCTTCCATTAAAGACACAAAAGACAAGCATCATATATAATTATAAAATATTAATTATAAAAAGTTAAAAAAACTAAAAGACTCAAAACCTCTGTGTGTGTGTGTGTGTGTGTGTGTGTGTGTGTGTGTTATGTTTAATTATATTATTAAGTTTTAGTCTCTTTTTTTCTTGATATTATTTTCTTAAATATTTTAACAAAATAAATACATAAGTAATAATATTTACTTTCAAATGCGGGCCAGTAGTCGCCTAAATGTGCTTTAATCAAAAACTTTTGTACGTCGTTCATTCTTTACACGATAATCACGCATAACGCACGACACGCACGGACTCGCACAAAGCTCGTTATTGTTCGCCGCCAAGATGGCGCGTATATAGCTCAGAAGTAAATGACAATAATTTTCTAACAAATATACATTCCGCAAGAATCTTGCATATCCTCTTACTTAAGAGGATATTCATGTTACTATAGTGAAATTTCCTATAGAGGAATTTTATTCTTAATCATAGCTCACGCATTCTTTTGTTTACAGATAGATATCTATGTATTTAAGAGAGACTTGCTTTCTGTAAGATTTTCTACTTTAAAAAACTGCTAAAAGGAATTCCCCGCTTGCGAGTAGAATATTTTTTTTTTGGGTGATTAATATGAAAAACGAAAAAAAATATATTGTTCTATCTTATTAATCTCTGAATATTAATTTTATATTTTTTTGTTTACTATATAAACAGAATATTGATTTCATTGTGCAAATCTTTGTTTATATATATTAGGATTTCATAATGCGGAATTCTAGCAAAATTGAAGACAAGCTATGAATTCGCAAAGTTCAAATCAAAAGACAGATAGAGTATTCTAAAAGTTTTTCTTTTGATCGGTGGGATTAAAAATTGCAGCTTTGCAGGCGTGGATGTACTTAATATGAATAATTTTTTATATTGTATGTACTATTTTTTTATTGCTTTAATTATTGTTTACATAGATGCATTACTATTCGATACCTTTGTATTCACTAAACTTTATGACTGGGTGCCTCAAGCTTTCATATTTTTGCGAACTTGCTTGAAATAGTTGAATTATGTGCAGTCAAAAGAAAATAGCCATATAATATTATATTAATATAAATAATATAAATTTATAAATATGCTTGTTAAATGATAAATGCACCTAAATGTATTATCTAGTACTTATTTTAAATTATATATTGCTTTGTTTTTAATTTTTTTACGTTAATTAAATACATCTATATATATAACAAACTATTATTTAAATATTATAAAATTTACACTAAACATATATAAATGTTTATATGTATTATAAAAATTTGTTATTATATATATATATATATATATATATATATATATATATATGCGTGTGTATGTGTGTGTATGTATATATAAAATAATAATATTATGTATTATATATTCCGTATGTTATATATACAAATCGTATTATATATTAAATATATAATTAATACATTATAATAATTAGTAATGTATATGTATATATAAAATAAATTTATATTGACTATAAGAATTAGTAATATGTTAATGTTATATGAAAACTAATAATTATATATGAGCTACATGTTCAGTAATTAAATATTTGACACATCTAATGTTATAATCTAAAATTTATGATTGATTAGCATTTTTTAGTTTACAATAAATCACATAACACACACACTCTCTCCCTCCCTCTTTCCCCTCTTTCTTATGTAAATCCACATTCTAATTTCACAAAGTTGTTTAAATTAAATATTAATCTTAATATTAATATTTATATAAAGAGTGAAGCCAAAAATCGCCTGTTTCGCCACCCTTGCAATCCGACTTGAATTTGGTGCTAAACGATAGTTATACATAAGACATTAATCCTCTGAAAGTTTCAGATTGAGTCCACTCTTTATCTCCAAGATACAATATGATGAGTCAAAGTTCGCATATTCTCTTAATCCGTTAATTCCCATTGGTAACCCAGAGTGGATTGCATGAAAGTGACTACAGGATGTACGATGTAACCGAGAATGATAATTATTAGCGAGAAAATATTGTCAAAATAATTTGTCTATAACAGGATTATTTAATCAAATAATTTAAATGGCCAACTTATCAAGCATAAAATGAGATGTTATATAAAATATGATTTATTAATTTATAATACATTGAATGTTGTCTAAGTTAGAAAAATACGTTTATATAAAAAATTAAATACATCAATAAAATAAATATACAAAAAATTATTAAAAAATTAGATGTTTTGACCGCACGCAGTTTTATTCAGTATTGAAATTTAATTCTTAAATCGTATCCTAGCAGTTATTACTGTTTCGTTAAATTCGATTCGAATATCGTGTTAGAAAATTTGTGCGTGTTACAACAAATCATGTCTGATTTCTCATCACTGAATCCCTTGTGTTGAGATCGCTCTTAAGACAGAATGATTCCCGTGAAGTTTCGTCGTTTGTAAACGAGAAATTATGAATTTCGGTATGCACTGTGTGTGGTTAATCATAATTAATAATTGGTCAAATGTTATAAAAGATATTTTTACAATGTTATTCGGCTTCCCACACAACACATGTACGTCCTTTGGACGTCCAATATATGTCCTCACATGTCCCCCATTCGTGGGACGTCCAAAGTACGTTATTCGGACGTCCGATATATGTCCTCACATGTCCCCATTTGTGGGACGTCCAAAGTACGTTAGTCGGACGTCCTGTTAAAATTTCAACTGCGATGGACAGTTGTAGGACTTTAAAAAGACATATTCCGGACATCTTACAATATATCGAGTATATGTATACCCTGTAGTTGAAAACTTAATTTTTATCGATAACATTCGTTTAATACATATAAATTTTGGTTGTGTCTTTTTATATCCAAAATAAGACGTTTATTTTATGTCCTGTAGACATCCTCCGTTTAGTTCTGTGAGGACGTCTGAGCTGAAGATTCTAATTCTATTATTATTATTAATTATAATTTTCTTACAATAATTTTTATTTTTTACAATTTTTTTTAGAGTGACTTTTAATCCTGATAATTTTAGGCGCTAGTGCGCAATGCGCTGCGCATGTCCTGGTCGGCCGGGTTTTCACGTGTCACAACATGTTTCGTGCTCGTGCTCTCGTGTGCCGCTCGTATCTCTCATACCTCGTGTTATTGAACAAAGAGATATTTATTGCAGAGAATATATAGAAAAGTCTTAGTGAAAATATCAAGAATACCGGATTCTGTGTAAGTCAGTGACGCACCGCCAAAATACTACTGAATGACAACAATCATAACCTCAGATTTTACAGTTTGTGTTGATTAAACGGTAAGTTATTTACTATCATTTTATCTCCTGTGCTTTTTGTACTTTCGTGTTATCAAGTTAAAATTTAATTAGATGTATTTCAATTGTCTGAATATTCGAATTGTTCAATAGCTCTCTTTCGTTTAATGTCCAACAGCTCAATCGTCTGACCGTTCGTTTGTCCGAAAAAAATTCCACTGTCGTGGAATTGAACAATCAGACGATTAAAATACCGTTAATTTTGTTTTTTTAAATGTCAAGAACTTATTTTTTGTTTATTAGTATACGTTACCGACTAGAGTAAAACATGCGTTAATAATAAAAAATGCTATTTTTGCACTTCAAATATGTATCAGCTATAGAGTCACTGTGTATTTTTACAAAGATTTTTCCCTTTTATGCAGAACTGAATATACTGTATGAAAACAAGTTGTTATAATGCAAGGAAAGATGTTTCATTTAACATAAGTATATATATGTATAAATTGTAATAGTCCAAAAAGTTCATTAATAAACAAAAATTCAATTTCTCTATAGTATTCGTTAAAAACAAAATCAGGTTTCAGCAACTAATTTTTTTATTATAACAATTTGTACGTAATTTTTACAAAATTAATTTTTAGAATTGTACATTTAGAATTGTACTGGTACATTTTTTATTTTTTATTTCATACTTAGTATTATTTTGTAAATAATGTAAATCTTCTTTACTTATTTTAAATTGTATACAAATGCTTTAATTTTTTTCGACGTGCTTAAGTGTGCAATTTTTTAAAAACAAAGTATATACATATATTATGTATATTTATTTATTATGTTCTGCAGTTCAACTCCTTTAACGTAAACATGCCAAAATCAAGGAAACCTACATTTTATAGTCGTCAGCATAAGAATAGACTTGTAAGACATGCAATACACGATTTTGAACTGAATAATATACAAGATCGTGATGAAGTGGATTATTTGACTGAACCTGACGCGGCACAGTCAAACATTGTAAATTACAGACAACTGCAGCAAAATTCAGATTCTTTGTCCGAGTTACATGAAAATAATGCAGATTATCAATTAATACAACAGGAAATAGCAATAGAAGAGGAAGAAAATGTTAATATAAATGAAAATATTAATGAAAATGTTGAATTTGGCATACCATCAGATGAATATGAATCAGATGAAGATGAAGATTTACTTGAGTCGGAACACGAAATCAATAATGAAATTAATATCGCTAGATTACGCAAAAATTTAGTGCAGTGGGTTCATGACAATAACATAAGTATATCCGCCGTAACTAATCTTTTGCGTGTATTAAAGAAAGAAGAAATTATGAGCTGCCTCCCAACAGATGGTCGAACACTTCTAAGGACTCCCAGGAAAGCAAACGTAATTGAAATGGAATACGGCCATTTCCGTTATTTTGGAATAGAAGAAGGCTTACGACATACTATTAAAAAATGTGATATCAGATGTATACCTGAAGAAATACATCTGTCTGTTAATGTAGATGGATTACCGCTTGTAAAAAGTTCCAGGAGCGGACTGTGGACTATTCTTGCAAGTTTTCGCAACTTTGTTGACAAGACACCTTTTCTCGTTGGAGCATTTCACGGATTTAAAAAGGCGCCATCTGCTGCTGTATTTTTACACGATTTTATCGAAGAAGCTCAAAATCTGATGCAAAATGGATTCAATTGGAAAGATAACAGGATTAAATTTTTTATTGATAACTTCATATGTGATGCGCCTGCAAGGGCTTATATTTCTTGCACAAAAGCTCACACTGGATACTATGGGTGTCCTAAATGTGAAACTAAAGGTATTTACAGAGGAAAAGTAGTGTTTCCAGAAATGAATGCTCCGTTACGTACCGCGGAATCATTTGTTAATCAAACTCAGCAGCAACATCACAATGAAGTAAGTCCCTTATTAAATATTATCAAGGACATGGTTTCGGACATACCTCACGATTATATGCACTTAGTTTTACTAGGACAAACGAAAAAATGCTAAAGATAATGACAGGAAAATTAAATCCAATGAAACTGGGGGCTCAACAAGTTAGCGATATTTCAGAGAGACAAATTGCTTTAAGAAAATATATCCCGTTTGATTTTGCTCATAAACCAAGAGCATTATATGAGCTCGATCGTATGAAAGCGACTGAATTTCGAGAATTTATCTTGTACACTGGACCAATCGTATTGCGTAAAATTATACGACAAGATGTATATGAACATTTTCTTAAACTGTTTGTCGCAATATGTGTCTTAGCAACGCCTGAAATAAATGTGGAACAAAATAGATATGCAAAAAACTTATTGGAAGCATATTTTATGGATTTTATAAAATTGTACGGAGAAAACAACGTTACATATAATACCCACGGTTTGCTGCACCTCGCTGATGATGCTTTGAAATGGGGAGCATTAGATGAATTTTCAGCTTTTATTTTTGAAAATCAATTGCAGCAAATAAAAAAATTGATAAGAAAAACCAATAAACCTCTTGAACAACTGAGCAATAGAATATTTGAAATAAGAAAAAATCAAAATAATTTTTACAGTATTGATAATACCATTAATACATACAAATTAGGTGCTGAATGTTACAATGGATGTTTGATAAATGGATGCAGATCGCCTATGTACAAGAAGATCAAATTTAAACATTTTACAATTACTACAAAAACTCCTAATAATTACTGCATTATGACTGATGAGAGCATTGTTATGGTACAAAATATATGTCATATGAATAATGATATCGTAGTTATTGGAAAAATGTTGAAAAATGGAACATCTTTCTTTACTTCTCCTGCGCCTTCCACTTGCTTTGGAATTGTGCAATTTTCCAATATATACAGTTCCCTGCGAGCATTTTCAATTAATTAAAAAACAAAGCCGTCGTTTTACCTATTTTTGATGAACGTTATCAATCTGAACACCGCCGCAATATTGTAATTTTTCCACTTATTCATAGTCAAGAAAATGTTTAATATGTAAATATACGGCTCCTCAGAGATGACTTCATCAAAATTTTGCATCGTTCATTTTATGGAAGAAGATACTGTAGAGGTTGTACCAGATTTTTGGATTAAGGAATCAGCCGGAATATTGCAATGTCAGTGGCCTAATACATCTTTTCCAGCAAAGAGTGTTATTCGAAGAACAATTCCTCATCAAGATTGGCCAGTTTATCAATGCAGAATTCTTGGCACATTTGGTATGCAATTTAAAATACAGTTAATGATATTTATCATAAAGAAAATTTTGAAATATGTGTTTAGTAAATTTACTGCTTCTAAATGTTCAAATAGTTAATTTTTGCGTCCATTTACATGAATTGAAAATAACATAATCGTAATCACTTTTCAGATGATTACGACACAGCTCGTTTAAATTTAAAAGAGGCTGAAGTTTTGTCGGATTTTCCGTCGAAAAATGTTCAATCTAGCAAACGATCACATAAACGTAATCCTCGATATTTCAGTGACGATGATTCATTGAGCGATGAAGTGAACATTAAAAAGAAGAAACCAGGTTCCTCGCATAATCAGTCGGTTACCAAGACTTCCATATATGTGTCAGATTCAAGCAATTCATCAAACGAACAAAAAGAAAATAGAAGGCCAAATAAATCAAATATTCAATTACCTAAAGCTTTCGAAGATAAACACAAACAAGTGCAGAAGGCAATTCTTCCTTCCTATGAAGCACCGACAAAAAAGAGTGCAACTTTGCCCAAGTCATCTTATTCTTCATCATCAGAAGATTATCGTAAACATGTTGCTGAAGGTAAAAGTATAATTAACTTACTTATTTTCTAAGGCGTTAATAGAAGTTCAAAATTTACTGATAACGTTACATTTAAAAAAGTAAAACTTTAACAATAATAAATACTATAAATAGATATACTATAAATAATAATAAATATAATATAAAAATATAATATAATGTAAATATAAAAATAAATAAATAATATAAAAATAATAGATAGAACTTTAATAATAGATTAACATAAATTATGAATCAAACTCAAAATCACAATTTTTTTTATAAAATCCAAAAATGATTAGAAAATCAACAAATTATCTATAAAATATATACACACATTTCTTAAAATAAACAGTGAAATCCGAGATGCCACGCTTTCAAAAATAATCAGTTTTGAAAAAAAAGTTTCATATAAAGATTTCAGGACATTATAAATGAATTAGCTAGTAATATTAAATTGAATTCGGAGTTACAGTAAACAGTCATAATTTAATCTAGTTTTATCACATTATCTAGTTTAAAATCGTAAATGAATGAAAAAATTAAATCGAATAAATTAAAAAATTTTTAATTGGACATTTCGAGATGAAACTGACATATATTTATACGTATATGAATACATTTTATAATATTTTAAAAGTTTTAATTGAAATTTTTTTAAATGATATTGTTTCTTTTGAAATATTGAATCATAAAAAACAGTAAATTTTTGTTTCTACTTTAGACAATACTCGTCAAGAATGCAGTATGTGGGATAATCAAGAAGATCAACGAGCAAATTCGTCGATTAGTAAACTGAAATTCCAGACGTCATCATATATTGGTGAAACTGGTAAAATATCTATTCTGATACAATATATAACAAACACCTCATTAAAGACCAATTCAATCAAGCTCCAATAAATTAATCGATGATTACACAGAGTTGCCAATATAAAAAGTAAAACATATTTGACATTAGAAAAAGAGAAAGACGATTACATTAAAAATTCTGTTGATATATATAATACTGTAAGTTAATCGTCGATTAATTAATATAAACTTGGTCAAAGCAGCTCACGTATTTATTTATCAGAAAAAGCTAAGTATTTATAATTGTTAATATTTTATGAATATTACATAATTTCTTGTTTAGAATTCGAAAAGCGAATACTTTGTAGCATAACACGATTACAAATTGACGTCAGAGAAATTCGTGATGTTGTTGAAAAAATTTATGAAGAGAAGTATTTACGCAATACACCAGATGTCAAGAAATGTCCTCAAAGAAATATCCGAAACGCACAGGAAGAAGAATTGACAAACATTTTACCAGATTTTCCGTTAAAAACGTTAAATAATTGGCAGGAACTTGAAACATTATTGTCAAACAGCAAGACTGCGCGTGAACAGCTTGTAAGTAATCAAATGAAGTAACAATCTTAAAAATGAGATTCGACGCTACAGGTTGAATTAAATCTTTGATTCAGAAAAACATGTTTTTCAATCGTGGAGGAAAAAATGGTGGTGAGCATATTCGACGAATACTGCGAGCTATGTTTGAGCCATGTCTAGCCAAAAAAATATCCTGGCAAGGACTAAAAAATAATGAAAAATTTGATGGAACTCTAGTTTCATGTGTATTATTTGGTAAATATCATATGTATATTTAATAATTGATGACAAAAGTGGAATGTATATTATGTATTATATAATATTTGTAACTTTTTGTTAACAGATTCTGTAAAGCAGCATTTTAAAATTGATGATAGGAACATAGAGTTAGCAATAATTAATTGGTTCCGCCGTTCATCTGAGAGGATCTCCAAAAATCCGGAAGACAATAATAGTGATACATAAAAGTATCTGACAAACAATTAATGTTATTATTTTTACGTGTCATTTTTAATATTTTATTTTTGTTTTTTAGTTTTTTAAAAATGGCAATAAATTGCAAGTTTAAAGGTAGAGTAATGTGAAATATGATCACATTTGATGAAAAAAAACTTTCTTTTATAGCTTATTTTGTTAAGCATAATAATGCATTTTTTTTTATTTATATTAACACTGTTTACTTTGTTTGTATAGTATAGCAATGCATATCTTTTATTGATTATTTTGTTTGTATAATATATTGTAATGCATTCTTTTGTTGCTTACTTTGTTTATATAGTATATAGTTCACAGTTAACGCATGTAATTATGTATAAAACACAGTAACAAGTTTACAAAAAGTTTAGCCTAGAGCTTGATTAATAAATAAAATATCAATATGTTAACAATTTATTATTCTTCATAAGTCGATAGCCGAAACTTTCTATGATAAAATTTTCATAGATGTAAAAATTGAACTATATAACGTACTCTAGAATTCTGAAAACAGTAATGCATGGGTTATTTTCATATTTTACTACTCTAGAAATGATAAAGGAATTTAAATTGACAAAAAACACTGAAAGTTTATAAAAATTTACACATAATTGTATACGTTAACTTTGAACACTTTAATTGGAGTTTTTATTTTAATTTTTTTTATACTAAGTAAACTGCGTGAACATATAAAAAATAGCACGTCAGTAATATATTATTTTGTTTTTGTTACACTAACATAAATTTTATAAATAAACATATTGATAATTTTGATGAGCTACTGGTTATAATGCTGAAAGTAGTATACTTAAGATAATATTGCAAAAATTATATACATGTATTTTATTGATTTAAATAAATTCTAACTATCTAAATATATAATATGGTCTTAATAGTTTTCAATGAGCATTATTGAAACATTTGTTGCGTTCAGCAGAAAAAGCAGCTCATGCGGCGACTGTTGATTCTTTAATGTGATTATTTCCTTTAGTTCTTCGTTGGATCTAAACATAGAAACTAATCACATTAAAGAATTAATAAGCACTCATTGGCCGGTATTCATAGTCAGATCTTATATTTAAGATCGTCTTAAGATCTCGTTTAACCAATCAAATAGCCGTATAACGTCATTTGATTGGTTGAACGAGATCTTAAGACGATCTTAAATATAAGATCTGACTATGAATACTGGCCATTGTGCTCTTTTTCTGTTGAATGCAGTCATTATATCCACATAATTACATACTTTGGATGTCCGTAGTAAGCACTAAGGATATCCGCTGGACGTCCCATTTATAGCCTATGGATGTTGTTAGGCGGAACATAGGACATCCTTAATACATCCACAGGATGTACACGGGACGTCCATCGGATGTCCTTGGTGCTCGCTTCGGACATCCAAATTATGTTGTAATTACGTCCATGTGTTGTGTGGGTTACTTGTATGTCCCTCATCACTAAATTCACGTTTTTAGATGGAACGATATACTAACTGTATGGTAAGATACTTCATCTCCAAACTGTGTCAAATCACAAAATTGAGTGCGTTTATATATATTGAGATTACGTATGTATAAATTGTTGATGTCCTATTTGTCTTGTATATTATCTATCTTATGTTTGCTAACATGTTTAAATCAAAATAAGATTCGCTCAGCAACCGGTATTTTTGTTAGAATTTAGGCCGTTTTTTTGTTCCTCGATATGTAACATTTCAGAGACAAGTCTCTTATGATATATAATTACATTCTCTATCTAGAATTTTTTACGTTTTCCTAATCCATAGTATGATTTCTTTTATTATGTGCTCAGAAATTATTTATGTGCTCAGGATTATTTAAACAATATATTGCAAAAATGATTTTCGGCAGGAAATAATGGCGCTATCTTATTCAACAGGAAATCACATGTTAATAATGTTCCATACAGACCGAAGATTGCAAGTGTCATAAAACGCAAGAAAAAAACAATCAATGAACAGGGATCGATTGTCTATTTGTGTCGATTTTTCTCACTTTTTGCACATTCATTTCACGTGAAGAAATACACGCGATTGGCTATGAGCAAGATGAAAATACGATATCTCTAGATTCACGGGAGCACAAACCATAGTGAACATTCCGTAAAGCGTATATGCATGCATATATGTTTCAGTGATACCTTTATCTTTATAACCTCTGCAGTTTGAACGGGTGAATAAGAATGAATGTTACAGAGAAACAAAAAAAATTATGTTAAATTTTATGAATAAACATTCGGATTTCGGTCGGGGCGGATACATTTTTGAACATGCTTGAATAAAATTGACGCGACGTGTTATGAGAATTGATATAAAATAATACATTAATAAAAAAATAGTGTTTAAAAATCTTTTATTATAAAGTTAAGAAATGTACTGTGATAATCTTAATTATTAATTTATTATAAGATTATGAAATGTACTAATTTTATGCGATACAATTTATGTGATAAATATATATATAAATATATATATATATATATATATATATATATATATAAATATATATCCTATTCAAAATACCATCGCACAATATTTCTTAATTCGTACTTCTTCTGCTTGCATTATATTTATATCATAAATGGTATCGGCACTTCTCCTTTTTCCTCCAAATATACTTCATTAATGGAATTCTCCATTTATAAGCAATATTATGTAAAACACAACATGCATTTACAATTAGAGCTGTAAAGAATAGATTTAAAAATACCTTTTCTTATCTCAATTATGCACTATAATTATTTACATACCAGCAAATTCTGGTGTATAATGTAATGTCCTCTCTTTTAATACGTATTTTAATACGTATTTTATCGCGCTCTACTCTACATAACATATAATGCAGTAGGATATACGACACATTTTGACATTATTCGACACAATAATTCTTGTCGAATAATCTCACGTGAAATATTTCGTGTTTTCACTATAGTGAAAATTAGCCAATCAACTGAATGCTCACTTTTGTCATTTTCACTAGGTTTTGAGATACACAATCGACCCCCAGTTCTATCCGACTCTTTCCATGCCAAACAAACTACAATGGCTCAAAACCGACTACTGAATCTGATTAAGAGTAATGATTATTGTGTGGTGAAGAAAAATTGTGAACAACTTCTTCTAATATATAATTAGATCGA